TCCACTTCGAACGGTCACATCTCATAGTCATAAAGGAAGTCAGAGCGAACTGATGCGCAATACACATGTCCTTTGATCGATATACATAACGTAAGTTAGCCAATGCCACACGTGCATTTTATATCTGTGCTTAGATTTCGTCAGCAATCATTCCTTTAGGGCTGATACAACTTCCCGAACAATTGAAGTAGTCAACACACTCAACCACTTCATTTCCTATCGTTAAACTGGGTGTTGGTGAAGATGAGTCCTGCATCATCAACTTACATTTGACAGGAGAGAAAGGCATACCGAACATTTGAAGATTGCTGTTCAATGTGTTCAGAAGACTCAGTATTTTACTTTCGTTTCCGCCAAGGGCGGAAAACATCATCCCTACACTTTTTAGTAGTAAATTGTTTTTGACTCCGTATAGGACTGTAGTCATTGTTTCACTTTTCTCAAGCTCACTCAACTGATATTTCCGTTCGAAAATTACTCACTCACTTTTGGTTGCTGGCATTTTTGATCACTCTCAACCTAATTAGTCTCAATTTAGGACATCTCATCAAAGCTGTAGAATGTGTGCGCAGGAACAAATTAATATCAAACACTGAATTATAGTTCATTTCGTTTATATGTGGTAAGTTAATTGTATAGTCAATGTACGTTTCTGTCTGTCATTGGTAAGACTTCGAAAATCAATAAAAATTATATCTTCTACTGTTTTATCCACTTTGTATGATGTATCTTTCATACTTATGTCTTTTATGTTAGTTTACTATTTTTGTAATACTAAGATTAGTATTTAGACATTGAGAGGTGGTAAATTATAAATGAATTGAGCTTAGTTACATGCATTAACTATGACAACAACGGACATTGTTCGTAGTCAGCTTTGTGTTGAATTTTGTATGAAACCAAGCTGAAATACACTTTTCGTTGAAGGTGATAAGAGTAGTGCATACCGACCGAAAGCTGCTACCTTGACGTGGTGGTCGGGCTTGAACACCGCAATGATCTATTCAAGCTATACTGGCTGAGACTTATGTCTCTTGAGGTCTACCATGCCAGGCAGGTTGTTTGGATAGCGGTTAAACAAAAAGCAGCTACCCAATCCAACATCATGATAAATACAAAATCACAAAATTTCATGCCGGATCGGCCGTGGCCCGGATTAACAACGACCGCGCTTCCTGCTGCCGTGTCACAGGGCAGGAGTGATAAATATGCTACTGAGACACACAAAACAAAAAATAACAAACAAAAAGAGGCCGCGTGTGACCGGCCTCAAGCAGTTGTCCCCTGGGCTCTGCGGTCACGCAACCAACTTCCACGGTGTGGGCAGCCGGGAAGTAACAATCGCCCTCACAATCCGAAATGCACGCGAAACCTCTCTATTACTCACTCATCTTTGTCTTCATCTTTATCATCTTGCCTTCCACTGATGCAACTCCTCGACTTGATAGCTCTCCACTTCCTCTCCACTCTGCGTCCACTAAAAACGATGGAAGCCAAAAAACCACCACCGACAGCCTCTTAAAGCCGCGCCACCAATTTCATATAGGAGCTCTTAATGTTAGGACACTTTGCCAAATAGGACAACAAGCATCACTAGCCAAGACCCTGGCATCACGAGCCATTGATGTATGCTGTGTTTCAGAAACACGCATACAAGACCCAAGTGTGGTTATTCACCTAACCCCACCTGGCCAACAGGTTGAATCTGCAAAATTCACCTTGAGGGTGTCAGGAGATGCCACAGCTAGTTCACGAGGATTAGCTGGCGTAGGGATAGCTTTGAGTACTAGGGCAGAAAAGACATTGCTTGACTGGATCCCGGTAGATAGCCGAATGTGTGCTGTCCGCCTGAACGGATCAGTAAGAAGGAGAAAGGACTGCACTACTCGCCGATGCCTTTTCGTAATCTCCGCCTACGCCCCCACTGACTGCAGTTCAGATGAAACGAAGGATGAGTTCTACCAAAAGCTGTCTAGTTTGGTGCGAAAGGCTAAACGCTCAGACATAGTCGTTCTAGCTGGTGACTTTAACGCTCAAGTAGGGAAATTGTGTCAATCTGAGAAGGATGTCGGTGGCACCTATGGAGTTCCGTGCCAGCGAACCGACAACGGTGACCGTCTCCTACAGTTCTGCTCTGATAATCATTTGTTTCTTGTAAGCACTAACTTCAAACACAAGGAGAGACACTGTTTGACTTGGAGACCCCCTTCATCAAACCAACGCTGGACACAAATAGACCACATAGCAATAAGCTATCGTTGGCGTGGGTCGGTAGGAGATTGTCGCTCCTTCTGGAACACGTGCGTAGATACCGACCATGCACTGGTCCGCGCTCGGGTGTGCTTACGACTGAACGGACGTAGGAAACAGCTGGCGGTAAAACCATCACGTCCCCAGCTCGATCAGGAAACTAAATCCGTATTTGAGGAAGAACTAGCTAAACACATATCTGTGTTCGACAGCTGTGCTCACCCTGAAGAAGCTTGGAAAAATATCCAGGCAGCCATAGATACAGCTGTAAAAGCTGTGAATAAGGTAAACCCAAAGGTGAGTAAAAACCACTGGATCTCCACCGCCTCATCCGAACTGATAGATGCTAGAAGACTTATTCCGGCGAGCTCCGAATTCAATGAGGAGCGAAAGCTGCACAAGAGGAAACTTACGAAAAGTCTCCGCAAGGACCGTGAACAGTGGTGGGCGACAAAAGCCAAAGAGATGGAGAAAGCTTCGAGGATAGGCAACACCAGGCAACTCTTTAGACTCATCAGGGAAACGGGTGGGAGAAGACAAATCATTAGTGAGACAATCTCGGAAAAAAATGGCACTATAATTAGCTCCCAGGATAGACGACTGGATCGTTGGAAAGAGCATTATGAGGAGCAGTTTAATTTGCCCACAGCCACGCTCAACCTTCCGAGCATCCAACACCTCCCTGAATGGGATATAGACACAGGTCCTCCGTCACTAACTGAGGTTACTAAAGCTGTCACCAATCTGAAACTAGGCAAAGCAGCGGGACCTGATGGAATGACTCCAGAGGTATTTAAGTACGGTGGAGACAGCTTACTGTCCGCATTAACTGAGGTACTAGGCAGCGTCTGGGAATCAGAAGAAGTCCCATCGGGTTGGTGTAAGTCACTGATTATCCCCATATACAAGAAGGGAGACAAGTCTTCCTGTGATAATCACAGAGGGATTAGCTTGACTAATATAGTATCTAAAGTCTTAGGCTCAATAATCATGCGTAGACTGAGTGGTGCTCGGGAAGCACAAACACGAGAGAGCCAGGCAGGCTTTAGACCAGGAAGAGGGTGTATTGATCATATCTTCACCCTCCGACAGATTCTAGAACATAGGCATTCCTACCGGCGTCCAACAGTCATTATATTTCTTGACCTAAAGGCAGCATTCGACTCTGTCGATCGGAAGTTCTCTGGAGATGCTTGGCTGTAAAGGGAATTCCGAAAAAATAATTGCACTGATTAAGGCACTCTACTCGTACTCATACAGCCAGGTGAGGGCTTACGGCGAGCTGTCATCTGAACTGATGACGACCAGTGGTGTCCGTCAAGGATGCCCATTATCTCCTTTTCTATTCAACTTCATCATAGATGTGTTAATGGACTTAACCCTAGGTGACTTCAGCGACTCAGGGATTGACTTGCTACCGGGATAATCTCGTTGACTTGGAATATGCAGACGATATAGTCCTTCTAGGCGAAGACGCTGACGAAATGCAGAGTCTTCTAAACACCTTGAGCGCAATCTACGAATGTTTGGCATGCGATTCGCTCCCGCCAAATGCAAGATGATGTTACAGGACTGGACTACATCGACGCCTAGTTTAAAAATAGGAAGTGAAGTGGTAGAGCACGTTGACCGCTTCACTTATTTGGGAAGTACCATCAGCCCCAACGGGTTGATCTCTGACGAAATCTCAGCACGAATACAAGGGGCTCGTTTCGCATTTGTTAGTTTACGCCGACTCTGGCGTAGACGAGATGTTCGACTATCGACCAAAGGGCGGGTGTACTGCTCATCAGTCCGCTCCGTCCTCCTTTATGGTTGTGAGACCTGGCCACTGAGAGTGGAAGACATGAAAAGACTAGCTGTCTTTGATCATAGGTGCCTGCGTTCTATTTCCCGTGTAAAGTGGCATAATAAGGTGAGCAACATGGAGGTTAGGCGTAGAGTTCTAGGTAAACAGGGGAAATCAATCGACGAAGTCGTGAAGCTACAAAGACTGAGATGGTTAGGACATGTGTTACGTATGCCAAGCCATCGCCTCCCTCGACGAGCAATGTTAGCGGATATAGGGTCAGGCTGGAAAAAAGCTAGCGGCGGTCAAACAAAAACTTGGCATCAGTCAATGAAATCCACAACAGTTGGTCTAAGCCACGTAGGAAGGTGTAGACTTCCAGGCTGGGGTCCTCGGGACGGTAAAAATCTATGGTTGGAAACAATTGGTGACATGGCTCAAAATCGTTCTCAGTGGCGCAGATGCATCCACTCCTTGTGACTTATGATTTCCAATGAAACTGTTTTGTTCTTCTTTATTACTCCTTTGTCTCACACCTCTGCTCACTGTTTCTATTATGCTTTTCTTGTACTTTCTTCTCTTGCTTCGCGTGCTACACGGAATGTGGCGACTTGAACTTCCGCACATTTGTGCAAAGTTCTATGTCGAAAACAGACAGACAGACAGTGCATACCTTTACACAATTACATGCCTAATATGTAGAAGTTTAACTATTCTTATGCTCTCTCTCTCTCTCAGAAATTTATTGATCAAAGCAAGTGATTCTAAATGTGGCTTTAAAATCTTACAGTCAACGTATTTGGTTTATGGTTATTTCTGTTGCCTGGATATAACAGTGTACTTCGTTATAAATGTAACAATATATTTTTTAACGTATTTAAAAAGAAGTTAACTTAAGATGTTTGAAATAAATTTTTATGTGTTATTCTCCATTCTCCTGTTCTCACGTATACATTTTTAGATAGTGGCATTTTTGGTAAACGTATGCCATGTGGTACTCGTTGTCAGTGACAATCTAAGCACTGCACCAACTCAATTACATCGATTTGTAGACAGAGCAATCAGTTTGAAACCCACTGTTTTTACACCGAATGTAATTCCATTTCATGCAATGCGTGATAAACAATCGTCTAATATTCGTAAAAAATCTTCTAATGGTACTGTTGATTGTCCAGAAGTGAAAAATTTAACAACTGCAGTACAACGTTTAGAAATTTCCCATTCTAATGGTGTTACAAACGTACCCGTTAGCAATGAGGCTGATGACGTTAGTGAATTAGAAGACGACGTCGCATCTTTATCCGAACAATATCATCAAGTTGGTAGTAATTTTCCTACATCGAATCACTTTCTTCGACAGTGTCTTCAGTCACCTGAAGCTGAGTCTAGAGATGTTTCAAATGCAATAAATCGTTTGATGAGTATGTTATTTGTGTTAACTACCTACTTTGAAATCAACATTAAAACTTTAGTTTCTTTTTCATCAAGTTATCATTTATTATTGCTTCCTTAGGTTCTGAGTGGAACATAAGACTCCAACATCACTTCTCCACTTTGTCTCACAGCCGTAAAAGAGGAAAAGATAGGGAACTGATGCACATTACACATGTGCTTTGATCGGTAGTCGGACATCACCTCTACGCGTGAGATAATGTAAGTCGGCAAATTCCACATGTGCACTTTGTATCTGTGCTTAGATTTCGTCAGCAATCATTCCTTTAGGGATGATGAAAATTTCCGAAAAAGTGAAGTGGTCGTAAGCCCGGGAAAAGAGGAAGGTTTAGGCTTGGTGTTAGTGTCCCCACCCCAAGAAATCAACCCAGTAGCCACAGAAAGTTCAAAGCACATAGAAAATTTAGAAAGACAAACACATAATATAGACTAGAAAAGAATTCAGGTATTTAAAAAAATCGTGTTATGTTGTGAAAAAGAGTGTTAAATAGAGTCTCAGTATTGGTTTGTAACCTTTACAGGGTGATCAAGCAGAAATTCTATCAATGTGGAATCTAGGATTCCTGCATACCGATCCGAAGTACCGCATCTAACATCTGCACATCGTTGAGAAGGTAATTGAAGGCCAATCAACTAAGATCATATGATGATGAAGCTTACGGAGAGGTAGTGTAACGCAATAAATATGATATTACGGCTAATATTAAAACGAAAAATAGGCGAATGGTATCACTGCTACTGCTACTTAGCCTTATCCCTTGCAGTCAGTCTCCTACGTAGTGTAGAGTAACCTTCTGAAAGATTCCATTGAAAGTGACCTGTTCGCCAAATCATTCATTCTACGGTTTCAAAGTGTTTTCAGTGTGAAAACTTTTACAGTCTTTCATAGGTTTCTTGTTGGATTTTAGTTTATCCTCGAATTTGTATCAAATTAATTAATGTCCTAGCTGATTGATTTCTAAATATTTTGTGTACAAACTTTTGTAATGAATAATTACTTTAATTGAATTTTTCAGATTTAACTGACTATTCGGCCTCACTAATACATGTATATAATCAGGCCCCAGCAACCGCATTTCTCAATCCCGATTTTTGCGCGAAACTAGATCGATACAAAAATAAGATACTTCCACTTATGTATCCGGAGTATAGAAGATTAATGTCACTGGTTAGCGCTGGTCCAAGGATATTATCAGCCCATCTACAGTCAAGAAGCCCTGACCAGTGTACGACTGCGCATCGAAATAACATTTCCAATAATGCTCCAAAACTGATTAATTCAGACACTACTGTCATCAAATTGTCCACTAACAATAGTCTTGGAAACCGTATAGTTCCCGATAATTCTGTTGCTCAGGGCTTCTCAGGTTCTCCAGATAATTCAAGTGGTTCAAGTGATGATTCCCAGGAAAATTCTGCCGCAGCAACACTATCTGCACTTTCTGCATCCAATGAATGCCCTGAACCATCATTAACCCCATCAGACAAAGATCCTTTGTCCTCTCAAAAACCTGATGATGTCGAAGACTTCAGTCCTGAAACGTTAGTTTCGTCTGAAGTGGAAGATGAATCGAAAACGGGTGAGTTAACTGCGGTTTTTAGATATCTTCAAGTAGTGAAATGGCGGACAGAAATCGGGACAAACTTTAGATTTGCATCTTAAACGCATTAGCTACAAAACATAAGTCCTTATGGTTGCATCTTTAATGGGAAGAGAAAACAAGAATTATGATGCTTATATATAATTGCCCCATTTTTTATGTTTCTTAGATTATATGCATTTCAGTGACTTACTAACTAGTAGAGACTATTATCAAAACTATTCAGTCAACTGTGTATTATAAAAAAGCTTTAAGAAGTGAATTGCCTGCTAAAAACGACTGCACATCTACCTTCAGTGTAATTCCACATTACTTGGTTTATTAGATGTATCACACAGTAAAACAGTATTATTTACTGGATGACGTTCCGAACAAAATTTATTGTTCATAATCATTTCATCAATTATAATCACACGAATTCGAAAATTGAGTTTTATAGTTTTCTCTGTTCTCTCCTATTTGTCGTCGTTGGGTTAGTAGAATTTTCCAGATATCTGGGACAGGCGTTGAATCATTCATGTTACATGTGTTGTGTTTGCTGGTTGGTTCGATAAACAAAGCTTCCGTTATCAATCTCTCCCTCCACCCTGTTCTGTTACATTAGATTTCAAAACTGTCATCCTATCCCATCCTATTGTATGGTTGTGTGTAATTGCATGTAGTGAGTACTATAGCTGAACTATTCTCTAGATTTCTTAGGTTATTCGGGTCAACTAATCTAGATATTGCTGCTAGGTTTTTATGCTCGGCTAGTCTGACTGCCCCTGTCCTACTACTTTGACCTATGTATTTGACCTGACAATCATTCCAGAAGGCTATTAGACAAACTAAATTGTTTTGTTTTAAAGGCTCTATAGGATCATTTAACCGACAGAGCTTGTTTCTAATTGAGTTTGTGGTCGGTTTTAATGCCAGACACTTTTATTTCTGCCTTGTGAAGAATTCTGCGTAAGGTTTCCGAAGTTCCTTCCTTGTATGGAATTACTACTGATGACTTAGATTCCTTGTTGTTTGTGTTTTCTTGCGCATGTTTGACATGCATGTTGTCATTAATGTTCCTAATAATACTATTATCATTGTCCTTATTATTATTATCATCACTATCACTACCATTATTATTTATTTGATTTTACACTACTCTACCTACTTTCTGACTAATTTATCAGGGTAATTATTAAGCTTCAAAGCTTCTCTTATATGCCTCATTTCCTGTGTTAGATTTTCCTTCATACTACTTAGCTTTTGTGCTCTATTATTTAAACATATCACCAATCCTATTTCCACTGACATAGGGTGGGATGATCGGAAGTCCAAATATCTGTTTGAATGTGTGGGTTTCCTGTAAACACTAGTGTTTAGCTTCCCATCTTCTTTCCTTTTTACGCTACAATCTAACATTGGAAGTTCCCCTTCCTGACTTTCCAATTCACAAGTGAATTGAATTGCCTCTACCTTCGAGTTGATGTGCTCGGAAAATCTATCTACATCCTTTGTTCTGAGTACAGTGAATGGGTCATCTACATACCTCCACCATACTTCGACGTGGGGTGGGGTTGGACGTCTCAATCACTAACTCCTCCCACCTATCCGTGAATATATCTCCCACGACCGGGGATATTGGTGACCCCATGGCATCTCTCTCAGTTTGTTTGTATATTTTCCCCTGAAATTTAAATACTGTAAAAGTTAGGCATGGCTGCACTCCTAACGTCATATTTTCTACTGGCATTTTTGTGGTAAGCCCTAATTCTTGTTCATAAATGAGTTCGTTGCTGACTTCCTTTATAGCCATGTTTATCGGTATACGTGTATATAAACTGACAATGTCAAAACTAACCATTTTCTCCTCATCGTCTAATTTTAAACTATCTAATCTATGTTTTAGTCCATAAGAATTTGTTGGTATAGATTTTGAATAGCTTTTCCGGAGATTTAATACCATGGGTAAATATATTTAGATAATTCATAAGTAGGTGACTTATGAACTTTAACAGCGCCATACATCCTAATGGGGTTATTAGTTCTGGACGTTATATTAAACCACTCAGACTCACCTAGAAACGGCTTCATTTGGCGTATAAGGTCCGCTGTGGATTTCTTAACTTCATTCATAACAGTGTCTATTGATTTATTAATTTCCTCATACGGTCTTGTTTGTATGTGAGTATTCACCTTGTCCAAATAGTCTGATTTGTCTAATACTACTGTTGCATTTCTTTTGTTTGATTTTGTGATTACTATATCCTTGTTATTCTTAGTGTTTTAGGGCTTCTATCCCTGGTTTTGTCAGGTAAGGCTTTCCATGTTTTTGTTATTTTAATGTAAGTGCACATTGTGCCCATACTTCGTCAGCTGTTGTTTTGTCTATCTCACTTAGTGTTATTTCCATTTTCGGGGTGACATCCTCAGGTTTCAGTTTGTCTACCGCTACACTGAAATTTAGTGCCTTTTCTAATACACTTATTTCGGTCAAAGTGAGCGTCCTCTTCGAATTAGAATCCAAGAATTTAAATTAGTTGCGAAAACACACGATATGCATTTTTTCATATCGATGCATGTACGCAACCACGGAAGCGAATATTACTGGGAGGATGTAGAAATTTTAAATAGAAGAAACACCAGAAATACGGCCAATCAGTCAATAAAAATGATCGACAGTGCTGTAAATTAACAACCATTCACGACAATGGCTTTTAGCAGATGCAATTATATCACCATTCATAGAGAATTCAATCAAGTTCACTTAATAATAAAGCCTGGTCTGAGTATTTTGTCTAGAAGATATATGAAATCTTCGGAATTAAATCAACCAGTAGCTCAGAGAGCACAATCAAATCAAACTTGTATGTACTTTCTAAAGTTCTGAATAAATTTTTCAACGAAACAGTGTTCTGGTATAAAATTTTTGACTATTCTTTTTTCTATATCCTCAAGTTTGTAGTGATAGCGTCAAATATAACGATTTTTCTCCACAGATTTTCCAACGGTTCTCTAACTGATGTCAGCTCAGTATGAAATCTTCCGACCAATCAAAACAAAATCCCTGCAACAAAACTATACGTGAAAATTACGTCATAATTGTTTCTACACATGTGATGGAGAAATTTTAAAAAGTGGAAAAGCGGAAACACTACTCAACAACTACCAGGATTTTTATGGACTTTTTAATGAGACATACCTTTTAAGTGAAGGCTTATGACATCACCTAGCTGGTTAAACTTAGGCCGACAAGCTGAGGCTCGAATCTGTAACCCATTATTTTGAAGTTGGATATTAATATTATTAGGTGTTTTAATTAACTCTATGTTTACACAATGAGATATTGTAATATAGCAGTTAGCATTAGTCAAGCTGATAATCTGAAAACCCTACACTTGAAATTTGACCAGTTAATTTAGGTTTTGTTCCCCCACAGTGGATTTGAATTTGTAAGTATGCTACTATCTAAGACAGAAAGTGTTTCTATATTTATGAATTTACCTTTTCTTTTCGTATTACCAACTTATTTTTTCAGACATATTACCATTCTCCATTATGGATATCAAGTTGATTATGATTATGAGCAACAGTTTGTGCTCGAAACCTCATCACTTAATATTACTGTATAACACTGTGGGATTTATCAAAAATAAAATCTTATCCATAATATGGTTATACTCTACCACAGTGCCCAAGTTTTATACTTATATCAATAATAATTATCATTCTAAACAAGAGAAAAAATGCAATGTAAACAACAATTTAGAAAAATAAAGTTAATTCAATTTAAACAATTTGTGGTTTATTTTTAAATAGGTTTATTTTTGATAACATATTTGTTTCAGACATACAGTGTTTACACTCATATTTGTGGATTAACTAAAAACATTCACGTTCACCCTATTTGATATTTTATCTCGAATTTTTTTCAATAGATAATAGTATGAAATTTTGGGAAAACTTTCTACGAATTTTTATTTTGTTCGGTTTAATGTTCAGAAGACATTATATCTTGTATCCTACTGGTTAATTTCAGCTGGTTAATTTCTATTTTGTACCCACCTCACTAAGATGAAGAAGTATGCTAGTATTTGAGTATTTGGAATATCAATGTCCGATGTGAATTATTTTCTGAGGTGAAGTTTTAGTTGGCAATTATTCATTTCCAGATTATTATTATTATTATTATATCCTTTAATTCCTAGAGGAACATAGGGCTTCAGCTGCGCGTCTCCATTGCCTTCTGTTTTCTGCCACCTTTTTCACCCCACTCCAAGTCTGCCCACATGCTTTCGTCTCCTCTTCACATGACCTCCTCCAAGTCATCCTTGCACTGACGACCAACTCGCCGCTTAACTTTCGGGTTCCACTCGAGCGATGGCTTGTCTAGTGATGTCACTTGATGGTTTCCTCAGTGTATGGCCAATGCATCTCTATTTCTTCCTGCCTATTTGTTTCACAATCGGTTCCTGCTGTGTTGGTTCGCTGATTGCCAGAGATCCCTGTTGGTGATCTTTTCTGGCCATCTGATCTTGAGTATTGAGCGAAGACAACTGTTGATGAAGGTCTGAAGTTTGTTTGAGGTGCTCTTTATGACCCGTTGGCCAAGTCTCTCATCCGCATAGTAAGTGGCACTGACTTCACACTGGAGTTGAAAATCCGGATCTTATTTTCATTTTCATAATGAGTGCTGTTGACTTCCACACAGACTTAAGAGTAATGAAATCAACTTTAGGTCTAATAGGGTATCCTGATTTATGAACTTTAACAGCGCCATACATCCTAATGGGGTTATTAGTTCTGGACATTATATTAAACCACTCAGACTCACCTAGAAACGGCTTCATTTGGCGTATAAGGTCCGCTGTGGATTTCTTAACTTCATTCATAACAGTGTCTATTGATTTATTAATTTCCTCATACGGTCTTGTTTGTATGTGAGTATTCACCTTGTCCAAATAGTCTGATTTGTCTAATACTACTGTTGCATTTCTTTTGTTTGATTTTGTGATTACTATATCCTTGTTATTCTTAGAGTGTTTTAGGGCTTCTATCCCTGGTTTTGTCAGGTAAGGCTTTCCATGTTTTTGTTATTTTAATGTAAGTGCACATTGTGCCCATACTTCGTCAGCTGTTGTTTTGTCTATCTCACTTAGTAGAGGGAGAGATTGATAACGGAAGGTTTGTTTATCGAACCAACCAGCAAACACAACACATGTAACATGAATGATTCAACGCCTGTCCTAGATATCTGGAAAATTCTACTAACCCAACGACGACAAATAGAAGAGAACAGAGAAAACTATAAAACTCAATTTTCGAATTCGTGTGATTATAATTGATGAAATGATTATGAACAATAAATTTTGTTCGGAACGTCATCCAGTAAATAATACTGTTTTACTGTGTGATACATCTAATAGACACAGTAATATTGAATCGCATACTAACACAGTACCCAATTTTGTACACATGTAAATTTAGGTTCATTGTATTCGAGTGTTTAAACTATCGCAGGCTTTTTTGTTTTGTTTTTTCGAACTGTTTCAAACACGGTGAATAATAGTCTTCGCATATAGGGCAAGGCTTGAAAATATTTTGTTCTGTTGCTTAAATGCTCAAATTCATAAAGCATTTATTGTCAACTAAACTTAGAAGTTTTACGGCTTCAGTCATGTTCGAATGTAGAGCGACAGTTGGTTTTTGTTAATTAATTTCATATTCATGGTGAATGTTTCTGATGGCGCTTCCTTCGAAAAAAATTTATGTAGGAGTGACATGAAATTTGTTTTTTATCACAATTAAAAGCATGTTTTTGTTTTACTATGGAAGCTTTTGTAGCCCGATGATGATGTCCTGTTTCATTTATAGTTTGTTACTACTAAAAGGAAACCTTTTTCTCTTTGAGCAAACCATATCGAAAGTTCTCTTATATCCATTTTAAGATTTTATCGTCAAATTTAATAGGCTTGTCATAATCTCTAGATAATCACTTCATCAGTGGTGCTTACTTCGTTGTCATTGCTTCACAATAATCTGTTAACACTGAATAGTAGATCGTGCAATTAAATGATTTGGTTTTCTTCTGTACATACATATACTGGAAATAAATTAATTTCAGTCTATCTCGTTGTGAAATTTCAGTACTATCTTAGATGCCTGTCTGACAGAGATAGAAAATAATCAGGGAAAAGTGAACTTATAATAATGCAATGAATTAGTCATCATTTTTTGTTGGAGTTTGGTCGTTTGGAGGCGGGAAAAAGGGAAAGAAGAAGAACAGTAGATACAAGGGGTAGTAAGAAATGGGTCGGATATATTTTGATCAATCCTCTTCAGTTGCGCATACGTTTTATAGTATTGGCCACATAATAAAATTGTGTGTTATACTTGAGCTCATTTTAATTAGAATTTGTCGATTAGAAAAGTGTTTCAAAATAACTTCGTAATAAATGAAATCGTGTCAAATGGCGTTTGATTAAATAGATGAAATAGTCTGAATGACTCAGTCCTTAAACTACCTGGCTGATATCAGGTACAGAGTTGTCATCTGGATGACTGGAATGGTCTACTGACTAAAGTTTACAATCTGAACAGTCTGTTTGCCTTCCATCTGCTGTTACAAATCCCTAACACTTCTCTGCCATATCTTCTCTTTTCTTTTGCAATCTGAGGATTCTTCTCAGCTTAGAAGTATCGTGCAGACATTCCATGTGGCCATGCTTATTTTTGCTTTCATTTGGAGAAGGCATATCGGCTGATTGGCTTCTTGAAGGTTTTCACTGGCCAGCGTTATTTTTCCCCTCCGATTTCTGTGAAGAATAAGTTCTTTTTATATATTTTTATCGTGCTTTGAATTCCGTTGCCTCGATTGGGTTAATTTTTCTGGGGTAAGGTTGCTAGCACTACTCCTAACCTCCCTTCTTTTTCTGGGTTTTCTGGCTAATAAACTAGAAGAGGTTGAGCAACCGCGTTAATGCTGTACAATAACCCTGAGAAATAGTTCTACGCTCTAAGATTGTTCCGGCCAATGTTTTAACATGTGCCTATGTTTCCAAAGGGCATCAGTTGTCATCCTTCGTTTACCTTGGTAACCCATTCCCCGAACGTTTGTATTTTTTTTCGTCCTTCTCTATGGCTCTAAAACATGGCCAATACGCGTTGAAGACATGAAAAGGTTGACCACTTTCGATCATAGATGTCTGCGATCCCTGTCTCACGTTAGGTGGTTTAATAAGGTAAGTAATGTTGACGTTAGGCGTAGAGTGTTGGGCAAAGAGGGAAAATCAATCGACGAGGCTATAAACTTACATAGACTAAGATGGCTAGGTCACGTGCTGCGCATGCCTAACCACCGCCTCCCCCGACGGGCATTACTAGCTGATATAGGTGCAGGTTGGAAAAGAGCCAGTGGTGGCCAAACAAAAACATGGCCTCATCAATCCATGAAATCCTTGACAGTTAAACTGAGTCAGGTAGGGAGATGCAGACTTCCGGGTTGGGGCCCTCGGGACTCTAGGAATCAATGACTGGAGACCATAGGTGACATGGCTCAAAATCGTTGTCAATGACTAGCGCAGATGTATTCAGTCTCTGTAATCTTTCATATTCCTTTCTACCATTACCCATTCTGTTTCGCTCTTATACCTGTCAAACTCTATTGATTCTCTCCACTCATATTCTTGTCTACCTGTGTGTGCTATTTGGAAGGTGGTAACTCGAACTGGTGCACTTTGGTGCCAAGTTCTATGTTGAATCCAGACAGACAGACAGACCTTTGTATTTATATTTCACAACATTATTAAAACGTCGTTTCTGTCTTTTAAGTTTATTATGCTTTATTACGGTTCAGTTCTTATAGAACTGTAATCCTAGACCTTCTCAGCTCTCATATCTGTATTTTATTACATTTTACTTTCTCGTTATGTTATTATGAAGTCGTATACTTGATTAGATAACTGTTTCTGTCTTTATGTTATTCACTTTGTTATCCTCAACGAGGTCTACTTTCTGAGGAATTTATTTCTAGTAAAGCTTGTGATATCTAATTCACGTGAACTTCTATGAAAAGGCTTTCTGTTTCTCCTTGATATTATTTCGCCACTCTGAACTAATCGACTTAATTCTACTAGATAAACTGAAGTATAATAAAACAATTAGTCCCTTTGATAAATTTGAACAAGGCATTAAGAAGACAAATTTCGCAAGATGATATCATTTCGGAGTTTCCTTTACAACCGCTTTACAACTAACATGGTTAACAATGATAAAATAAAGTTCATGAAAATTACTCAGTTAAATAAAAACAAAAGTACATACTAATGACCAATCATATTAAGATAGGTCATGCAGTCCAGGGTAGGCGAAGATTGAAGTATAATAAATATATTTTTTTTATAATTCTATCCAATATTGCAGACTTTATAAGCCTGGAGTGAAATGATCAAGTGCGTCGGTGGCACAGTGGTTAGGACTCTCGCCGACCATACGCATGGTCCGGGATTCGATCCCCTCCCGACGCACACCTGATATCTATGGTCGGCCTGCAAAATTTGGGCTACCGATATCACATGCTGAAAATTCCATACTTGTACCAAAAATACAGTGTGGAATCAAGCCGTAATGAAACAAACATAATGGATTCCTATTGTATCGTTCTAACGTTTGTTCACATTCTTTACAAGTTTTGAAAGGCAAATATGTATGTTCCATTTGTACTTATAGAAAAAGAATATAAAAACTCAATAGTCTCATATATATATATATATATATATATATATATATATATATATATATATATATATATATATATATATATTTGCCTAATAAGTTATGAGTTATATTCATTTTGGTTAGTTGAAATTAGACAAATCAGATTCCAGCTCTGTAATCCAATATTTAAAAGTCGACCACCTACCATTTTACTTTACTAAATAAAAGTTAACGAAAATTTGTTATATTTATATTATTATGTTGTCGTATTATCAGATGTTGCTCATTGTCTCCATTCACCAGTCAAAAGTCAAGGGAAATCAGAGATTGTTACAACTGAAAATTTTGATGGGTTAGTAATATAAGTTTATCGTGTATATAGTGTTTCATTAATTTTTGTCTTTGTTTAACAGTAAGCTTATTTTCATGGGAGAGGAAGACCTGCTATCTGACGATATGCATTACTCACATATTACTGTATGAATACGATCCGTGTCGTGGATTATTGTGCATTAAAAAAAGTCAACTGTAACTTCATACGTTTATTTCCCTTTATGAATTTAAAGCGCGAACTTTTTTGTACAGACCAAGATGGTATCATCATCTATTTCGCTGACTTTTCATCAACTACGTACAGCTTCCAAATGTTACATGTTGTCAGTTGATAGGAGGTTGCAAACTCAGAAAATTTCACTTATATACTTTTTATCCAGAAAGTTCAAGTCTAGACAAAAATAAATGTTCGCATACAATCGCGAAGAAGTTATGTAATGAAGACAAGAGGCGAATACGGTGCTGAGTAACTGTGTGGTGAGCTCAAGTCAAATCATAGAAACAAGAAACAAACAAAGTTGAACTATATCAAAGTGGAGGGAGGTTAAAGCCAAGGACTACGTAATCAAATGAGAGAGTGAAGACATCCAATTACCAGGGCAAGGAAAGAGTGAACACAGGCATTTGATAGCAATTACTTTGGTAAACTTGAGGAGAAATCAACTGTTTTGTCTACTGATAATTTAAAAGGATTTTGTAATGTTCACCGCATGCCCTGTATTAATGAAATGTCTGACAATGACACTATTGTGATTATTTGTTCCCTTGAGACGTCGACTTTTTGGTACGTGTTCAGAAAATTGGAGGTGTATGCCCTTCTTTCTCTTCTTCCAATGTAACTGCTCCCACAGATGTATATAAATTTGTATACACAGTAAGAGTTAACATAATAAGGGTATCTGTTGACTTTTGATTTCACGATAGGTTCTGGCTAGTGATATATTTAATCTTTTGGTAACATCGTTCCTGCAATATTGTCACCTTTAAAGTCGAGCTGAATGAAGATAGGCTTTTTTCCCACTGTGGTTTGTCTTGCATTTGAGTCCTCATATCTTTCGTGCTTGTTAATGCATCTCTGCGTGATAGTGTTGTCCAGCTTTCTGTCAGCTGACATCATGTAAAATTTTGAAGCTGTACGCAGCTGATGAGAAGGCAACGGAATAAATGATGGTACTATTTTATTCTGCACAAACTGTTCAACTGTAACTATTTAATGTTTGTCGCTTACAAAGTATTCTTTGATTATTTAATACAGTGTTAATTGAAAATAAGACAAAAAACGTGGGTGGAAAATGGACCCAAACTGCATATCACCAATGTCTCAATTGATTGAATAGGATGCTAATAGCAATAGGTTCACCTGTTACTTCTTTATTGCCAATTTGCAGATATTTGCTTTCTACAGTACTATTAGTACATCGAAATATAATATTAAACACTATTCCGAACGGATTATTGCAATCCGTTTACTTTCGAACACTAAACCTTTGGATATAATCTTGTTGACTACTAATACCTATAACTAAACGTTTGACATTTTGTGACTTTTTATAACTAACTCACTTCAAAAGACTTCTAAATCCTCCGCCACCTACAACGCATTCAACAATACCAACGACGGAAGCAGAACTACCAGTGAACATCTACCCTCCAACGAAATCAGAAGTCCTGAGTGCAATCAAGATGCTAAAAGCTGGGAAAGCAGCAGGACCAGATGGAATCCCAGCAGAAGCTTTGAAAATGGACCCAGAGACAACAGCGAACTTGATGACGCCATTGCTGGAGAAGGTGTGGACAGAGGGAAAGTACCTGAGGATTGGAAGAAAGGATACTTATTCAAACTACCAAAGAAAGGAGACTTAAGTCAATGCAAAAACTGGCGTGGAATTATGCTCCTGTCCATTCCAAGCAAAATACTAAGCCGCATCATCCTGGAGAGAATCAAACATGCCCTGGATGCAAAACTTCGACCGAAACAGGCAGGATTTAGGAGAAACAAGTCATGTATTGATCAAATCACCACCCTACGGATCATCATTGAACAAAGCTTGCGATGGGAACTATCTATCTCAACTTCATCGACTTTGAAAAGGCATTCGACAGCGTCGATCGAGAGGTCATTTGGCAACTACTTTGCTACTACGAGGTGCCATCGACAATTATACATCTCATCCAACAGTTATACGACAATGCTGCATGACAAGTAATCCACAACGGGAAACTTACGGAAGCCTTCGAAGTGAGGACGGGAGTGAGGTAAGGCTGTCTACTATCGCCAATGATTTTCCTGATTACAGTAGATTGGATAATGCGACAGACAACAGGCAATGAGGAAACAGGCATGAAATGGACTCACACAAAAGACTTGGAGGATCTGGACTTCACCGATGATATATGTCTGATTTCCCACAAACTGGAAGATATGCAAGTGAAAAGCAACAAGGTGGCAGAAGAAACATCAAATATAGGACTCCAAGTAGACAAAGATAAAACAGAGGTGATAAAGATTCCTGGCCAACAGCAACAACAATCAGGCAGCATAAATGGGAGGAACCTGAAAGAAACAACCTCCTTTACCTACCTGGGAAGTATCGTTTCAGCTACAGGCGGAACTGACGAGGATATCAAAACCAGAATCGGCCAAGGAAGACAAGCTTTCATTACTCTCAAATCTGTGTGGAGGTCAACAGCACTCAGCATGTGGACAAACCTGGAGCGGGGTCAAAAAGGTGTCAGAAAACAGAAGGCAATGGAGGTCCACAGCTGAAGCCCTATATTCCTCTAGGAACTAAAGGATACAATAATAATAAGGTTTATGCAGGTGGTGATAAGAATAACAAAGGTAGTAATATGTGTATGTGTAGACAATTCAATAAATAAATTAGGCCAAATCTTAAAAGTTACGTAATACTAAAGGTGAAGTGGACAGAAAATTCAAAGTTTAAATAAATATCATAAATATACGCAGGAGATCGAAAATAAGGAAGAGTGGGAAGATTTTGAATAGAATTCACCTAGGCCAAGGGAGAGACAAAGGTAGAAGAAACTTCTTTTGTTCTCTCGAATTCCCATAGCTTCGGCCATGTTTAAAAGACGGATTCGAATTCCGTTCGAAAGGCTCAGTGGAATGCGTTAGATAACTTTGAAGGCACTATTTTCGTCTACTCGGTGACCGCTATCAATCAAATGAGCCAAAATAGAACTTCTTATAGATTTTATTTGGTTCGGAAAAGGTCAAATAAAATCTATAAGAAGTTCTATTTTGGCTCATTTGATTGATAGCGGTCACCAAGTGGACGAAAATAGTGCCCTCAAAGTTGTAGATAAGTCTATGTAAATGAGAGTAAAGCCTGATGAAGATCTAATTGAAAACAATATTGTTCGTGTATATGTCTTGTTCTAATATAAAATATGTGAATATTTAAAGATTTTCCTTATTCGTAGACATAAAACACTGAATAATAATAATAATGACGGTGATAATAATAACTGTACCAAGAAATTCGATTCATCCTCGTCAAATATAGTTTCTCAATGTTGCAGTGTCTTGCGAACTATAGAAGATGAACTGAATTTTACTGTTAATGAGGACAACTCATCTCCTGATAATCTTTCCACGAAGGATGCTGATATAAAATTGTCGGAATTATTGTCATTTGAAGATAATTTAAAAAAACATAATCTAGTGAATACTCCTGAGATTAACGGTGAAACATTGAATGACAGTCTTGTGAAAATGCATCGTGATGTACACACTACCAGACGTGACTTCTTCGATGTTCAAAGGAGACTAGATAAACCACGATTATTCTTGATACCAGAAGTAAATAGTAAAGGTTAGTTGTCAATTTCTTAGCTTAGAAATTAAAAGTAAAGATGTATACCTTACAAATGATGTTCCTCTTTTTCTACTTGTCTGTCTGTTTTCGACATAAAACTTTGCACAGATGTGCAGCAGCTCAAGTCACCACACTCCATGTAGCACACAAAGCAAGAGAAGAAGGTAGAAGAAATGCATAATAGAGACAGTAAACAGGGATATGAGACAAAAGGAATTGTAATAACGAAGAACAACGTAGTCTCATAGTCATAAGGAGTGGATGCATCTGCGCCATCGAGAACGATTTTAAGCCATATCACCGATTTTCTCCAGCCATTGGTTTTTACCGTCCCGAGGATTCCAACCAGGAAGTCTACACCTTCCTACGTGGCTTAAACTAGCTGTTGTGGATTTCATTGACTGGTGTCATGTTTTAGTTTGACCCCCGCCAGCTCTTTTCCAAACTGACCATTTTTCAATTTATTGTGTTAAAGGCTTGTTTGCTACAAGCATATAGCAATTTAATAACTGCTATGCGAATCTTTAAGAACTTAAAACAACAGATTTGTTCATTATGCTGTCTACTTGGTATTACCACCTTCTAATGCCAAATTACCAGTAGCATATCTTCACCTTGAAATTATTTGGTTCTTACTTCTACGTTACCTAGAAACATCTGTAGATGCATGAAAGACAAAGAAAGCTGTATTAATTCCAGGTAAAGACAGAAAATCAAATAACCTTAGTCTACGTGAATCATTGAGGCATACGGCTTTTTCACACTGCATAATCATTCTCCTTCTTTAGTCGTTCCACATAATTACATCCATAAATCATGTTCACTTAAAGAGAACGATATTCCATTATGTGATACACTGCCAGTTAGGGTTATTTGACTTGAGAATTCTGTACAAAGAGTAGAAATGCCTCTGTAGTAAGACAGTTGAGATATTCTGTACCTGCATATAAAATACTTTTATCAATTGTCATTATTATTATCTACTAATAGTGTTTGTGAGTGTTATATCCTGCTACTTATACTTCATTTCTTTCTTAATTGGTTTTCACTGTTTAGGCCAAACCCCAACAGGATGTCCAACATACATGACTTCTGCACGTATTTTACAGGAAGCTGTTTTCTCTACACCTCGGCAGCATATGATGCCAAATTTTAATGAGAAAAAGTGGTATGTATCAACTGCCTTTCTTTAAGATACATAACTTTTCATTTTAGGATTACGTATGCTCATAAAATGTGGGATGCGGTTGCACATTCTCCATTGCTGTTGGATTATCATTCAGTGCTAATGAACGAATTATAACTAACTAACTCACTTCAGTGCAGCATAACTGTGTATATAGTAATAATCATAATTTTTATAATACCTTTGTTCTATGAATAAAAATTTGCATTTCTTTTTTATATATTTTGCAACCATATGACGAACACCAAAAGTCATTACCTCACGAGTGAAAATGTAGAAGAGATGACAATAAAGCCATACTGCTGTGTCCAATAATGCGTAAAATACACAATATGTTGAAGATATCATATACGACACACCAAGCAGAACATATAAGAATAAAACTTGTGCACTGCAGTAGAGTATAATTCCATTGTGGGTGAAATTTATTTTGATAAAGTCTCAGAGTGTTATTCAGTGACGTTTACTGTAAATAAATACTTACAGCAAATATTACTGGATAACACTGTCAGACTTTATCAAAATAAATTTTACCCATAATGGAACCAAGCAGAACAGTTAGCCTCCTTTATTTAAGGTCAATTACACATATCTTGGTCTCTGAATTGTTCGATGACCTATGTCAGTTACCTATCGAGGTTAAGACGGTACATGGCCAGAATCTCTCTTCTTAACGTACTGTACCTTTTTTCCGTTGTTTACAGTCAGTTCAAGGAAAAGGCAATTAGTTGACTAGATTTGACAGAACTGCATCAACTGCAGTGTTAGATGAGTTAGCTGAGGTATTTAAGGGTGCTTTTGGATCCTGACATATTAGTAAGGTGATATCTCCTACGACTCTTCATATTTTGACGAAAGTGTTCTTAGCGGACTCATGGAGATCCACGTACTTGTTATTCCCTTGAAGCAGTTCTGTCACCGACTGGATTAAAGAGATACAGGTGGGAATGAACCGTCAGTAGTAACCAATCGGTGATATCCTCCTTCGTTACCGTGAGGAGCGAGGATGCCTATCATCTGTTCGATGGGCAGATAGTACGAAGGTTGGACATATGGTCGGATTCGTTTTTGGCTAGTTTTAGTTTGTTAAGAGCAAGTTTCCGGGCATTGTGTTTGCGATGCAGTGCATAACGTTTCTGCTCATACACACTGGATCGTTCGTGCAATAGTTGCGTTCCGGGTACTTGTTGACGATCGTTTGGAAAGTTTTTTTTAATCACTTACGAATTTAGGCCTACGTAAATGGTTCCTTTTATATATATATATATATATATATATATTAATGATGACATCTGTCAGTCGTTGCAGGCAGGCATCTATGAGTAGGTCACAATGGTCAAGTAGATCCATGTCCTTGTTGGGTATCGCGATGTCAGTGAGAAGGAAAATCCACTGAGTAAGTGTATATAAACCTATTTCCAGTTAAAAATATCTCTGGAAGGTTGCGATGTATTTTCCGTCGGTAGCCAGCAACTTACAGATAGTTTTCCTCCGATAATCTTCCTCTATGACAGGGAGGATGTTGACTTCTGCACTAGCATCAGTATAAAGTAGCGTATTTTAGTGATGGCCTCTCCAGTGTACAACAAGCGGCCAAACACCATCGGCCACGGTCACCAGTGATGACAGTTTGACATATTTCGCTATCAGAATGTAGGCCAGATGTTCATGTTTCTGAAGACCTTCTAATGGCTTTTTATGTCTAGGCTTGCCACATTTCGAAAGTGACAAGTACTTCTGAAGTAAATTTTCTTACATCAAATACACGATTTGACATTTTTTTCCGAAACAATAATACAATAAAGTATTATTCACATATTTATTCTGGAGAAAATGCTTACAGAATGTACAGATTTCTTGGCGTATCATGTGTGAATGACTTTTTGATTCCTCGCTATGGCCATCCGTAGTATTCACTCTGGATAGCATCACCTAAACCTTGGACGTAAACAGAACTGGACTAGTGTCCAGTCAAAGAACTGGATATTCGACGTCAGTATCTTCATATGCTATGAATACATATTAATCAACCTGAAATTTGAACGAAGGAATTCACGTAGATGGGCGTCAGACTAATTAAGTAATTTATACTATAAAAAGACTGTTTCTGCAACCAGAGAATGATATCTTTGATCTGGTGATGAGAATCAGGAACGAGCCTAACTAAACCTGTGTTGTGTTACAAAAAAGTGACAGGAATGAATGGTCAATAGCCCTTGGAGCTTTGCCATATGCTGTGGAAATAAATATATGGAGAAATGTAACAGTTTTCAGTAAAGTATTTCCGTATTTTTCCCAGTAGTAAAGTGATGAGAAACTGTAACACATTTTTAAATTGTGATTTTCAATGGCTAAATACTTATAAATCAGAGAACAGTAGAAAGAGATAAAATTCGGAAATTCATATTTGACAAAGATATTTATACTATGCACTTACCACAAATCGAAATAAGCAACAATAACAGTTTAAACCG